ACAAGATTTCATTGTTGTTACTGGTGCTGCTCATTGGTACTGGAACCTTGTGTTTTCTTTCTCTTTGGAAATGTTGGAGTCATGTTTTGTTGTATTCTCTGAGAACAAGGAAGAAAGCAGATATGACTTCAGGAAACTTCAGTAATCTTTCTGTTGTTGTTCTTCTTGTTGCTCTTGTTGTTATTGTTGTTGTGTAGTTGCAACAGGGTGGAGGCAGACCACTGCATGGAAATTATTGCACAGTGTAAAATAAGAACATATTACATGTATTACATGTACATGCAGTATGTAATAAGGATTCTAGATATATGCAGCCATTTTAGCACATCTCCTTGACTAAGGAGAAGTCTTTCTTTCTGCAGACCTTCTCCCTGGTCTCCTGGATCAGGGATTCCTGAGGGCAGTGAAGGTTGAAGCAAAGAAGGTGTTCCCTATCTGAGCTTCCTCTGCAACCTCTGTTGCAAGGTTCCTTTTTTCATTCAGTAGTGGGCCCCCAATTTCTCTACTGTTCCTTTTGTCATTAATGTAATAATGTTTTCCCAGAGGCACTTCCACCATTGCTGATGGGCTTGGCCTTGGCCAGTGGCAGGCCCATCTTGGAGCCAGCTGTCCTTGGCTCAGCCAGATATAGGAGAAGCTTCTAGCCACTTCTCACAGACGCCACCCCTGTAGCCCCCCCACCATCAAAACCTTGCCATGAAAACTCAATACACTGTGCCAGCTGAAATCTGTGTCTTCTAACAGTAGATGGCATCCAGCCCCTTAGTAGCAGACAGGTCCCAGATAAGCAACCCATGACTTCATCATGGAGACATATGTGGCTTTTCCCAGAGTAAGGAGCAGATCAGTTTCCAAGTTAGAAATAAAGTCTGGGTCATCTGACGCATATTGCATTGCCCTATTCACCAGCCTGTTCCACTGGTTAGGTTGCTTGCTGGTGTGCCCATAAAAATTGCATCAATCTGAAGTGCAGGATTCTTTCTACTTTTTGCCATTAGGAAACAAGAATCTTTTTTAGTTCATAATATGCTCAATTACCTTTAGATTGATCCATGAATAAATTATAATCAAAACAGACTTGCTCACCTTAAAGCTCTCTGGCTTAAGGTTTCATTGTTGATTCATTAAGTTGTCAGTTCTCTATTGGCAGAGTAATGCTTTTTTATATCTGAATAGAGACAGTTTTAGTGGAAGTTACTGTTATCTTTAAATGAGCAGGATTTAGCGTTTTTGGTAAGAACAAATTCATCAATGATGAATCCCTGGAGAAACTACTGAAACAAAAATCACAATGTTGCTGAAGATTTATACAGTTCATCAGTTAAAAGGCAGCTTTTGGAAGTGAAGGGCGAGGGAGGATTTGGATTTTTGCTTTCTTTCTGTAAAATACTCCAGCAAGATATGTCAAGCTTCCAGTTTTGTGATAATGCAATTATAAACAATGAAATAATTCCACTTAATGTATTTATTTTGGCTCCATTCTTGATGTTATCCCTCCAGTAGAAACACATTAAATTATGTCTATATAGAGACAGATGGATACAAATAATGCAGCTATAGACATCACTGATACAGATATATAAGTAGATGAGAATTATCTAATTACTCTGCTTGTTGCAGTCTTCTAAGGACTTGCTATGCTCCACATATTCATATTAGTTGTGGTTTTTTCCTAGGCAGATGTTGATATAACAAAGATATCATGTATGGAGAGTTTAGTGACATTGGATTATCTGGAAATTTAAAAAAAAAAAGTACTATATAAAGATTTCAAAAGCAAACAGAGTTAAACACACCAAGCTCTGTGCTTGTGCTTTCATTGGGAATTTTGTTATTAAATCCCCCATGTGCTTAGGAAGATATCCCCTACAATGATTAGAGGTGATTTAATTTTAAAATCTCTTAAATATCCTTTTCTCCCACAGTTATTTCAATGTCTCCACATTTTCTGTATCCAGTAACATATTTCATTAAAATATCGTTTGCCATTTCATATGGCCTTTGACTGCAAGATGTTTGAAAACACAGCTCCAAACAATAAGCACTCTCCTCTGCATTCCCTGTGTCTGTGCATTACTCATACGGGGGAACCATCAATAAGTCCTTCCTAAGCTCCTGAGGCTACATTTTCATGTATTATTTATTGCTATAGAAAAGATTGTTGGTTTTCAGCGTTGTTTGATGAAATTTGGCTTGGCTGCTTGTGAACTACTAGACTCCAAATAACCAGGCCATTTGTATGGGCACACAGTGTGTGAAGTCAGTGGAAGCTCATTGTGTATGCCCCAGCCTGGACCAAGACCTACATGTTTCCTTAATTATTTTAAATTCCATTTTACCAAATTCTTGACAGAAAAACAGCAGTGCACAGCAAATATGAAAGTTGGACAACAGTTTTCTAGATTAATCATATTTTCTTTTATTTTTTAAAAATACAGATTATACAGTTTAATTTAGCTGAACACGTCATTACAAATCATCTGAATTATGGAACTGGTGGCATTACACACTCTTCGAAATGTCTGCTGTACATTCCAGATAGCAGATATGTTAGATGTAAAAATCTACTTCAACTTACAACTTTGAAAATTAGTAAACCTTTGTAATTCGCTCTTCACCTATACACAAAAATGAATTCTTCTTCCACACTCTTCCTTAGATCATCTATTTCACTTCAGTATACCCAGTGTTTCTGTCAGTAGAAATTAGGAGATTGGGCATATATTAAGATAACAGAAAAGTATTTATTAAGAAAAGATTTGGCTGTTCTTCCTGAAGATGATCTTCAATCAGTCAAGCCATGAACAACTGTCTCCTCTCTCTACTACTTCAGTTAAAACATCAGCAAAATTAGCTTTGCTACTTACTCTCTAAGTCAGCAATCCAATTCCTGGCCAGACAGGAAAGAATCCAACAATGCTTTGTCATCAGGTCTCCTCCCCTCTCAAGTCAAAGTTGTTGGCATCAGCACATAAATTATGGAGAGGAAATAGTTTCTCAGTGACACAGCTACTACTTATTCATAGCCAAAAATGTATTTCTAGTTGATTTGGCCTAGTAGACATACCAGAACACTTTTTAGCAAAATTTGTGGTTTTTTGATTTTTGCTAAAAGTTTTAGGCTTTCTAAAAGTCTTGTAAAGAATTGAGTTTACATGTTTGTGCTTTAGAGCCTATTGATTAGAATGAAATTAAACAAATTCTTCCTTCTGCTCATTTTGCCTTATAAAATAATCCTGGTTTTGCTGTCTTATTTGACTTTAGTATGTAAGGCCGCTTCCTTACTTCTGTTTGGAGTAATTCATAAAGCCTTATTTTAAGACATCCAAGAACAATTCTCATATGGCAACTGCACAGAAAGGAAAGTTTGTTTGATGTCTGTAAGGAAGCCCTTGAACATGACATGCAGGAACCAAATTCTCATTGAACAGACACAATAAGAGCCCATGGACAATGGGGAAACTTGGGCTACACCTACCTTTGGGACAGATGGGGTCTGCAATATCCCTCACAGTTCTGGCCTTGCATTTGCCCAGACTGAGGCTTTGTCTCATGGTTCAGTTCCAGCCTGCAGGAGGGCACCTCCTCCGGGGAGCTCCAGGAGACTGCAAGGCTCATGCTGACTTGCTGTTAAAAATGTGTTGAGGCCACAAACCAACTCTTGGAAGCAGGGAAGCATTTCAAGGACCTCACCCTCTGGCTGTATGCTCAGAGTGCCAAAAACTGAACAGCCAAGAAAGCTTTTGTTTGTCATAGCAAGAAGCCTGAGGTCCCAGGGTTGGGTACTGTGGCTGACGGAGCTCATCAAGGAATTTTTCTCCTAAGGATTAGCAGAAGGGCAGGGTAACCTCTTCTGGATTTACTTCATTTTAAAAAATAATAATTTGTAAATTTTTAAATAATTTGGGGTTTAAAATTCACATTGAAATTCCCTCTTAAAAAATTGATGACTGCGGCAGTACTGTATCTTGTTCGATATGCTCTTTGAGGTTGTATTATTAGCGTGAATTAATGCTAGCAGCTGCCGAGGCTGTGTATCCCCTGTTACTACCTGCTGGTTTCTGCAGTACTGTAGCTTCTGAACAGGGTTTAGTTAGGTGGATAAAATACTTTTGCAGAATAAGAAACTAGTTTCAGGGGAGGAAGGGCATGATCTATTGCATCAAGTAAAAATCCATTTTTTTACCATTTTTCGCTCACTGAACTCTGTGATCGTGGCACACTACAGTTGTCCATATCTCTGCTAGGTAAGCAAAGGGACTTTTTCTGTCAGGAAGCGGAGTGTTTTATGAATCCTTAACCAGCTCTTTCATGTTCTTGGGTGAGACATGAGTTTTGCAATTCAGTGAAATCTTCCTCTAGAGTTTGCTTAATTGGGTTCAAGGATTAAATGTTGCAGAAAAGATTGCAAGTGGGACATGGAGGTAAATTAGGAGATTATAATGTGTTTCAGTTCATTTGGTGTTTGTTAACCTTACTTTTTGACAGGTCAAGACAGCCTTCTATTATCAGACTGCAAAATACATGTTTATAAGCTTTTAAAAATATGTACTGATATATTCAGATATCAATACAAGTAATCTTAAATACTGGCAGAACCCTTCTAAGTAAACTGATAGTTTTCTGATACCTTACCACATAGTATAAAATAAAATAGAAATAAAGTTACACATTTGAATTATTTAACATGATACATTTTTATATACAAGCAAGTATGCAATGGGGATATAATAGATTGTGGGATGCTGACCTGCAATTCAGCTATTTTTCTGCTGTGGGATATTAATATTTTAATATTCAGTATATATTTTCAAGTCAGATCCCAGTGTTCATATTTGATTTTTATTCACTTCTCACTCTGGTGCAGTCTTGCTGTTTTCAATTTCAACTTCCTGAATAAGAAGCAAGTCACGGTCAGCATGGACTTAGGGTTTCACCTGTGGGATCAGAGTCGCCTTTTTACTACCCCCACTCACTAAGCATAATCATTTTTGTTTCAGAAACTACCCAGTTTTGGGCCTTACCTGGAACAACGCAAAAAAATAATAGCTGAGAACAAGATTAAACTGAAGGCACAGAACATGACTGCTGTGCTTCCCGAGAAAAAGCATTTCATTCCAAAGAAGCCCATTCCAGGAATCAAGGTAACAAAAATATATGCTTATGCATAGGAAATGATCGGCCATCAGGCAGTTGACATGCACAGTCATTTCTGGCAGCTTGAGTTGGTTATTACTGCTTTTAAGCTAGTTAGAGGGCATCAAAGACAACTGTTTATGCAGACTTTCTAGCTTTTAACCAAAATCAATGAGAAATGATTTCTGATGTACATGTATAGGTATTTCTCTAATGTCATTTTTCAAAATGAAGATATTCAGGCAATGGAACAGTAATTGCAGAACGAGCGGGGGTAATGCCTTGAAGAGCAAAGCAGAATTGTTTACAATTTCTTTCAGTTTGAATGCTACAGTATGAGCTGTTTTGCATGATACCTTTTGATTACTTTCAATGTGCTAAATGCCTCCATCCCTCATGTAGGATCAATGGAAAAGGTTGGTGTTCAGTACATATAAAAGCTGTGTCATAGGTTTTCAGACTGAACTTTTAAAGCTGGAGAATGTTTGTCTAAGTAGCTGATCCACTGTCTACAATGAGTAAATGTCAAGGCAGAAATAAAACCTGTGACCCCTATCTACTGCATAATATATACATTGAAGCTTTTCTCTTCCCTTAGTTAGCCAATAAATATCAGTAAAATGAAACGGCATAAGCTAATTATTCTAGGTGTTCACTTCAGAGCTGACTTAAACTTCAAGTCTGAATAGAAAAAATAAGTGAGCAATTTATTATTTTTCTTTTTAAATTGTGATTCTCATGTAGACCCTTTTATAAAGCAATTTGAAAATTATGTCTGTTAATTTGTTGACTGTTTTGCTCATATATGGGAGAATATCAGATATCTACGGGTAGGTAACTTTCCCTGTATGATCACACCTGTAAGAATTCTTGCAAAAATAAGGTCAAACATAAAATACAATATGAACAGTACTCAAAATAACACATAATTACCAAGAGAATTTTGCAGTTTACCAGTATATCCAGTATTCCAAGCTAACTGGTAGAATGGCAAAACCAGCCAAGGAGAAATTTTGAATCATCTTCCTGTTTAAATTAAATAGTTTGCCACATCTATAGACCTCTCTCAGATTTCTGGACTGCTTATTTTGGTTTATGTCACGCTTTTGAAAATCACTCCCCTCCTCTTGTGCTGAGGTTCCCTTCTGTATGTATACAACAAGTTCCAAAGAACAGCAATCTACTCTTTTTTTTGATGAGCATTTTCAAAGCCTGCTTGACCTCCGAGGTTTCATGATTCTGTTCTCTTTGCAGGGAGAGAGTATTGATGTAGGGAAAAAGAAAAAGAAGAAGCAAGAGCCAATAACTGCATTTTCAATGAGACAGCTTGCTTCTGAAAACAGCAGAAAACCAAAAAACTGATACCATCCAAAAGCAAATAAACCGAATGAAGGAAAAAGTTTAGCAAGAGGGAAAAACAGACATAAAGACTTGAAAAAAACATAAATAAAAAGTTGAGGTCAATAATTTATCAAGCCTAACTCCAAGTACAAAAGCAAAAAAGATCCAAGTAGTAGGAGATAGATTAAAAAAAAGAAAAGAGGCCCTTCTGCAGGGAAGAGGAAAATGAATTCCCCCAAATACAAACTTTTGTTTAAAAGATATTGAATACTTTTGAGCGGTGTCTGAGGAGCTTCTCAGCCACTGAAATCAGGTTAGCCTCTTTTTCACACCTTTGGTTAAATGAAACTGAAGCAATTAGAAGAGGATAGGCGTCGCCAAAGCTGATTCGTGACAGCCTTCCAGTCTGAACATCTCTTTAATATTTTAACCATAATGAGAAAAACAGTAGCAAGAGAGGTTGTACTGTGTTTGCGTGGCAAGGTTTTGGTGTAGTGGTGGGACTACAGGGGTGGTTTCTCTGAGAAGCTGCTGGGAGCTTCCCCAGTGTCCGACAAAGCCAAGGGCAGCTGGCTTCAAGACGGACCCGCCACTGGCCAAGCCCAAGCCCATTAGCAATGGTGGTAGTGCCTCTGGGATAACATATTTTAAAAGGAGGGAAAAAACCAGCAACTTCAGTCGAAGAGAGGAGTGAGAATATGGCCTTGTCAGGGATCTGCTTGGCAGAGAACCATGAAATAAAGCCCTGGAGGAAAGAGAGGTAATATTCAAGGATCACCTCTCCCAAGCTCAGGAGCAATGCATCCCAACAAAGAGGAAGTCAGGGAAAAATGCTATGAGGCCCTGAACAAACTCAGACACAAAAAGGAAGCCTTCAGAGGGCCACCAAGATGACCAGAGAGCTGGAGCACCTCTCCTATGCAGACAGGCTGAGAGCTGGAGCTGTTCATCCTGGAAAAGAAAAGGCTCTGGGAAGACAGAGACCCTTCCAGTACCTAAAGGGGCTGCAAGAGAACTGTAGCGGAACTTTTTACAGGGGCATGTGGGGACAGGACAAGGGGGAATGGCTTTAAACTGAAAGAAGGCAGGCTTAGATTGGATATTAGGAAGAAATTCCTATGAGAGCGGTGAGGCACTGGAACAGCTTTCTCAGAGAAGTTGTGGATGCCCCATCCCTGGGAGTGCTCAAGACCAACATGGCCTGCTGGAAGGTGTCCCTGCCCGTGGCAGGGGGGTTGGAACTGGATGACCTTTGAGGTCCCTTCCAACACAAACTGGTCTGTGATTCTAGGTGATAGGAACATCTCTGTAGACCCCAAGGTCAGTGAAGAAGGAGGGGGAGGAGGTGCTCCAGGTGACAGAGCAGAGATTCCCCTACAGCCTGTGGAGCAGATATCCTCCTGCAGCCTGAAAGAAGAATGTGACCTCGTGGGAAACCTGCACTGGGGCAGGCTCCTGGTAGGACTTGTGACCCCATGGAGAGAGGAGCCCACGATGGAGCAGTTTTGCTGGCATAACTTGCAGCCCTGTGGAAGGGACCCATGCTGGAGCAGTCTGTTCCTGAAAGACTGCACTCTGTGGGAGAGACTCACACTGGAGCAGTTCATGAAAAACTGCAGCCTGTGGGACGGATTCGGGAGGGACCCCACTCTGGAGCAGGGAAAGAATGTGAAGAGTCCTCCCTGTGAGGAGGAAGGAAAGGCAGAGACAATGTGAAGCCAACTGCAACACCTTCTAACCCTAACCAATTCCCCTGCACCACCAAGTGGGGAGGAGGTAGAGAATTTAGGAGTATAAGTTGAGCCCAGGAAGAAGAAAGCGGTGGGGGGAAGGTGTTTCATTATTTGGTTTTATATCTCATATATATACTCTGATATGATTGGCAATAAATTAAACTAACCAAGTCCAGTCTCTTTTGCCTGACACAATAACTGGTGAGTGATCTCTCCCTGTCCTTGTCTCGGCCCATGAGACTTTCAGTATATTTTTTTGTCCCTGTCCTGCTGAGGAGGGGAGTGATAGAGCAGCTTTGGTGGATACCTGATGTGCAGACGGGGTCAGTTCACCACAGATGCCCTCTAAGAAATAGGAAAATACCTGGGTTTTGGTTAAAGTAGGGAATTTGCCACTACAAAGGGAGGTTTTAATAAAGTTGATTATTAATAGATCCATCTATTATTATATAGTAGTGAAAATCTGCCAGGAGGATTCAGAATATTCATTAATGAAGCTGAGTGAAGCTTAATGAAAAAAGGTGACTTATCTTATACCCTTCCCTGATCAGGAATTCTCCATGGAGAGAGGCAAAGGAACTTGGACTTAAGTGATTTATTTGTAACTGTCCAAGAAATGTTCACATTTAGAATTACAAATCCCAGACCATCTTCAAGTAGTTCTGTCTTGGCTGACCCTCTAGACAGAAAGAATAACATATTCACTAACTGAATATGTTAGTTCAGACTAGGATATTGGGAGTAGTCATGGTCAGTACCTGGTTCTCATAGGTAGTCCCAGCTTACCTCTGGCTCTCTGGAGCAGTGAAGTGACATGCTTGAAAGCTGATGGGACCTGAGAGATAGGTGCCCTTGAAAGAGGTATGACCCCTGCATTGGCTGCTTGTGTTTTTGGAGGGTTGGTGCAAATTTCATGATTCCCCCCCCAAGTTTCCTAATCTGCCTAATCAGCTGTTGGGTTGGTGATATGTAAATTCCAACATTTTTGTAAATTCCACATGCTGTCAAATTGCCTTTTTTTTTTTTTTAGTCAGTTTAAAAACCCTCTGCGATTATCCAAAATATAACTTATTTTTGAATCTCTTTTCCCATGGCTGTTCTCTTTATTTTCTCTATTTTTCAATATTATTTGAAACTGCATGCTTTGATGTTCAGCAGAGTTGTTTATTCTTTTCTCACTTGTCTGTAATATCGGAATTTCTGCCATATGTGGATATGTGCCTTGGATATTTTCTTTTCAGTTGCAGTTTTGTACAGCTCCCACAGATGGATTTACCTATTTCAGGTTACCTCCTTATTACTTTAATTTCTTTCCTTATATGTTCTTGTGTTTTCTTCCTAATAATTTAGTTCTTTTGCCTTAAGGGCCTATACCACAATATTCAGTCACCATTTATCTGCTTATTTCTTCCTTTTTTTACTCCACAAGTCTTGCTGTAGAGATTGCCTTGTTTAGTAGTTCAAACATTCTGGCATAGCTCTGTTTGTCAGCTTAGCTAGGGTGTGACATGGTGTTCCACCTGTTGGAAAAATATCCACAGAGATCCTCAAGCTTTAATTCCTCGTGTTTGATCTAGTTCAAGTAAACTTTAGTCTTCAGATATGGGCAGAAATCCTAGAGTCCAAACTTCCTCTTTCCCTCCCCACTCTGACTGTGGCAGGAGGACTGCCTCAAGTAGCTCTGCAGTAGAATAGAATAGGAATTAGAATAGAATAGAATAGAACAGAATAGAATAGAATAGAAAAAATCATTTCAGTTGGAAAGGACCAACTGCCTGACCACTTCAGGACTGACCAAAAGATAAAGCATGTTATTAAGGGCATTTTCCAAATGCCTCTTAAGCACTAACAGGCTTGGGGCTTCAACCACCTCTCTAGGAAGCATGTGCATGACCACCCTCTCAGTAAAGAAGTGCTTCCTAATGTCCAGTCTG